TGTATAAAGACACTTCCAAAGACAGTACAGATTGCACCGAGGTGTAGTCACATCCATCCAGGCTGCAGGTGGCATTGAGAGGGGACCTTTGATGAAAAGGAGATAAGCCAAGTCACACGGATTGGAAGTGGTACTAACGGGAAATGCATCAACAACTCTAATGCAATACTATGGACAGTTAACCCTTTGGGGATTTTTTATTGATGAATTGTATACACTTTTGTTTTTTATACATGTTCAATAAAATTCTATATATGGGTTTTATAGTAAATATGTTATAAATAGTAAAAAAGCGAGCGCTGGTAACATTATTATAAAATACTAAAATTATATAAAATCATGTAAATGTAAGTATTAGAATAGCAGCTAGCACTCAGGGTATTGGCAACAGTCCCAAATTAAAATTCTAAAGTATTAGTGCAGCACTATAAACACATGTAACAAATTATAAGAGATAACATATGAGATCAATTTATAGGTAAATAAAGTGCAGAAAAGTGCAATACTGGTGTAAACTAAATATATCACTCGGTGCTAAACAGCTGAAAAAAGTTCATACAATCATTTATGAATATTAAAATGTCCTTTGTGAAAGGGTATCAATTCAGAGAGTGCCTATAATTGGCACGTGTGATTTATCCGTGATGAACAGATGTGCAGGAACTCGTGAAAAGGAATCCACCCTTGGGACGGATGTACACTAACCAGACCAAAAGTATTATTGCGCATGGGTTATAAAAATCACGCATCTGGGGGTGCATTGGTATGCTGACAGCTACAGGTTTAGTCATCCAGCTCCATCCATCAGGATTGGTGCCAAATGGTCCTGGGGAGGAATTAGCTCAGCCACAGGAGCCAGAAAGGTGCTATATAGTGTAGTATTTATTATGATGTTCACAAGTAATAGTTAAAAATGTCCACGTGGAGAAATGTAAAATAATTTGAAAATTGAGTACCAAGATGGCCGCCGCTCCTCAATAGCGGCGGCATGACATCAGCAATAGGGCTCCACCCAATGCGTTTCGTGTAATAACAAGTCCTCAGGGGTACACTTATTTATAGTAAATATGTATCTGTCTATTTGGTTTTGATATATACACATACTGTATATATTAGCGGGTCACCCTTGAACACAATTTCTCCACCTTTTTTTTATGTTGTTATGCTTCTTGTGGGTTGGTGACCCTCCAATATAATTAAAAATTATATATTTCATACCACAACTGCTTTGTTAGCCTCACCCTTATTATTTGTCTGTTGCTATAGTGAGCTGTGAAATATTTGCGAACAACATTCTAGTTAGAAATTCATTGGGGAAAGATAGTCTACCAATTCTCCTCTGACCACAGTAATAACACAACCCAACTTTGTTGCCTTCAACAACACTAGTACAACACAAAATATAGAACATTTATGTTTCCTTATTCTGGGAACCTATCGATATGTGTACACCATCCATGATGTATTGGAGGTATTTCCATGTACAAAATAGCATACTGTATTTTCTATATTTACATTATTGTACTGCAAGTAATCCCCCTGATACTTTTTTATGCTGATATTGGTTCCATATTAGTACTTCTCATAACCAAATTAAACATGTAGTATTGATTATTTTTAACATATAATATTGTTTTATTTATTAATTTCATTAATAGAAAGTCCAATGATGATCTGAAAAGTGCACTAACCCAGGACAACCAGTAAGAAAGTATAATTTGTCTGATCTGATTGCAGTAAACCAGGTTGATTTGTCCTGCAAACCTGTTGCTTTGCCCTGCATGGCCAAAGTTTAAACAGTAATGTTAAACATATGGTAATGGTTTACTTTATCTCTACCATTTGGTACTTTAAAGGCTGACTCTTGTGTTAAAGCAGAAGAATGATCTGCCATTTACTGGTTAGTACATGATGGTATGGTTGTCTAATTTACAGATGTTGGACTGGAGTAATATGAGTGTCTACCTTTTCCTCGCTTTTACTCTACTGCAGTGGACTGGCTTCACTAAGGCATCTACAGAGGTAGGGCAGTAAGTACTATAGAATATGTTTTTATTATTTGAAATCATTTCTTGCACTTATGTCTTATGTAATTTAGAGCCATCAAAGCCCAACTCAGGGTATCATCATATTCTTAGTTTTAAAGAAATGAGTGTTTTCATTTGTAGTGTAATAATATAATGTTTGACTTCAGCAATGCATGCATGATAGAGGTCAGTGCTGGCATTGTGTCTTCACCCTTTCCCATTCACAAATGCAAAGCTACTGCAGTATCACAGGCTGTGTTGTGTCAATGACTAAGGTAGAGACCTAACATCAGCACCTGTGAATATCATTCATGAAGTGCTGATGTCAGAGTGAACACAAAACCAAAAATATTTTTTATATCCCTGTTTCAGACCAGTGACTGACTAGGTAGTGAAGCCTGGATCAGGATAACCACCCCAGAGCCTATTATTCTAAACACCCAAGTCAGCAAAGGCAGCACCCATGTTTCACATGTAATCATAGCCTCTCTTTAACCAGCTTCCATATGAGTTACGCATATATGCGGCCTCTCAGTGGGTGGGCTTTAACGCAGAGAGGCCGCATATATGTACTTCCTCAAACTTAACCTATCCAAAACCGAGCTCCTGGTCTTCCCCCCACCCCGTGCCCCCCCCCATCTTCTCCATCACTACTAACAATGCCACCATCTCTCCCACCCCCCAAGCCAAAGTCCTGGGTGTCACCCTGGACTCCCACCTCTCCTTCCTACCCCACATCCAACTGCTATCTAGATCTTGCAGGCTCCACCTCTGCAACATCTCCAAGATACGCACATTCCTCACCCCAGACACCACCAAAGAGCTCGTACACTCCTTCATCATCTCACGCCTGGACTATTGCAATTCCCTTCTCACTGGCCTACCCAAACGAGCGCTATCCCCACTCCAGTCGATCCTAAACTCAGCGGCTAGACTCATCCACCTCACCAACCGCTCCACATCTGCCATCCCCCTCTGCCAATCCCTTCATTGGCCCCCGATTGCCCAACGCATCAAATTCAAACTGCTAACTCTGACCTACAAAGCCATTCACAATGCCGTCCCAATCTACATAACTGACCTGATACCCAAATACTACCCTACCCGTGCCCTCCGCTCCTCACAGGACCTCCTACTCTCTAGCTCCCTGGTCTCCTCCTCCCACGCTCGATTGCAGGACTTCTCCAGGACTTCCCCCATCCTCTGGAACTCCCTACCCCAATCCATCAGACTGTCGCCTACTCTCCTCACCTTCAGGCGCACCCTGAAAACCCTCCTCTTCAGGGAAGCCTACCCCAACCTCACCTAACACCCGACCTCACCTAACAACTAACCTCCTCCACTCCTCCCGCCACTCCATCCCCCACAGCCATTTCCTCCTGTACTACCTTCCCCTCCCTCCTAGATTGTAAGCTCAAAAAAGCAGGGCCCTTGAACCCCTCGTGTATTGTATTGTTACTGTCTTGTCTCATGTTCTGTCCCCCCTGCTACTGTACAGCGCTGAGCATACCCATTGGCGCTATATAAATACTGTATAATAATAATAATAATATGTGTCCCTATGAAAACATTTTCTTGTGCTGAGAGTGTGCACCCCACGTGCTCAAAGCACAGTTATTATTAATATTATTATTATACAGTATTTATATAGCGCCAAAACGTTTGCTCAGCGTTGTACATTATAGTGGGAGACAGTACATGAGACAATACAGTAACAATACAATACACGAGGGGTTCGAGGGCCCTGCTCCTTGGAGCTTACAATCTAGGAGGGAGGGGATAGTGATACAGGAGGAAATGGCTGTGGGGGATGGAGTGGTAGGAGGAGTGGAGGAGATCGGCTGTTAGGTGAGGGCGGGGTAGGCTTCCCTGAAGAGATGGGTTTTCAGGGTGCGCCTAAAGGTGAGCAGGGTAGGTGACAGTCTGATGGATTGGGGTAGTGAGTTCCAGAGGATGGGGGAAGACCTGGAGAAGTCCTGGAGTCGGGCATGGGAGGAGGAGACCAGGGAAACTGGAGAGTAGGAGGTCTTGTGAGGAGCGAAGAGTACGTGTTGGGTGGTATTTGGATACCAGATCGGTGATGTAGTTTGGGGCAGTTACTGGTGGGTACTGGAAAGCTCCTGATGCATACTTGCGATCAGGAGCTTTCTGATCATGTGACCACTGTGACTGCCAATCACATGATTGGAATGCCCACCTCTGCCTCCCAGCATGTAGAACCTCTTTAACGACTAGGAGGAAGCAGCTGGAAGGGGTTAAAACTAGAACTCAGTAACTGTTGCAATATGTGTGCTACATTTATGAAATAATATACACGTAAGAAATAATATGTTTTTAAACAGAGCAGTTTAAATATAAATAGTGATGTGCAAAGTACAATAATCAATAGCAGCAAATTAAATGATCACAGTAAGGGGTCTATTTATAAAATCTTTGTTTCACGAATGTCAGAAGGATTCAGCTGGTTTTACCCGTAACTGACTTACCATGCTTTGGTCTGCACTTTGTCTTTGTGCGGTCTTTGTGTGGAACTGGTCTTCTTAGAGGCAGGGCTTTCCTCATATCAGATCTGCCCCCATGATGATTGATGATCTCCTGGCTTGTGATCTAATGACTGGTAGGGGAAAAGTCAAGAAGCGATAGAGGTGCACAAAACACATATTTAGAAAATGAATGACCTAATGCTGCCAGTCCTTGGGTTAAGCTTACTGTCCAGAAAAAGTAGCAAGAGCAGCCCAGTAGTGACAACATAACGTTTTTCTTCAAATCTCCTGAGATGCAGAGGCAGCAGTGCCTTAGATGTCTCACTGCAGATATACAGCAAATATACAGCAATGGATACTTGTCAGAGTAAACATACACTAAAGGCCAGTTCCTCTTCTCACAGTTCAGCATAATCTTCATACTGGTATATTTCATTTTCATGCATTTTGTGTTTTATGTTGCAGAGATTTGACTCTCCGATTGTTTTGGATGTCGGACAGCGATCAGTATCGAATGAAGAGAAATCAGCTGATCTGGCAGCTAAACTCTTACTATTAGATGAGCTGGTCTCTCTTGAAAATGATGTGATCGAGACTAAGAAAAAGAGAAGCTTTTCTGGTTTTGGGTCTCCTCTAGACAGGATATCCGCTGGTACTGGTGAAATAAAGGGAAAGCAAAGGTAAGTGATGATACCAGTGTGTGACTTTGTTTAAATGTTCATTGCGGTGAGTTGAGTGGGGATCTGGTTTGACATAAACTGGAGAGATCCCAGGGCTCTGAGTAGTACTCATCCCTTGAATTTTTAACATTCTCAATCAGAGTTGCACAGAAACCAAGGGCTCATCTAGAGTTTTTTGAGGTTCTTTGAGCTGTGGCTGATTGACCTCCAATCTGATAATTCCTGAATAGTTCCAGAACAAATGCTACCTGGCAGAGCCAGAAGAGTGAGAGCAATGATGTGGAAGAGCCAGCAGAGAGACAGCAATGATCTTATAGCTGTCTGTAAAAGTATCATTCTGACCACCACTGTAAAGAAGGCATTCTTCCAATTGACCACCAATGTAAGGGACAGTTTCCAATGACCCATGATGGAATAATTTTAGCAGGGGTTCCCTGAGACCTGAAAATCATTTCAAAGCTTGGGTTGGTCCAAAAGTGGAGAAAGAGTGGTCCATAGGGGAAACACATACAGGCAAAAGTCTGTGCTTGTGCCATAATCCCCACATTAGCCACATTGGTAGATGTTCTCTTGAGGCAGAAATGTTGATTCAGCTGAATAATGTACAGTACGTATACAGAGTATACATCTTCACCGCCAGGGACACAGGAATCAACAAATAAAACCTGGAGGTATTGTCTAAAAAAAATATCATTAGTACTCACTATGTAAAGCTTTGGTTTTGTTCCATTTCCTTCATTTAAGTTTCATAAAAACCAACCCCACTGCAGCACACATCCAGTTTAATGCAGCACAATGCTAAGGGGTATTGATAGCCTTGGTAGTCTCTCTGACTCAGTACATTACTTTTTGGTCCAGAATGCAAGCATGTACTAAGAATGTACATGAAGCTCTTATTCTGACCATAGTATATATCAGAACTACTGTACATTCAGTAAGCAGTCACTACCAAACTGTCCTTTGCTGGCTAAGACAAAATGCATAAATAAATAAATGCAAAATGGAGCATAATAACTAAATGAACCAGTATAACTTAGATATTTGTTGTCATTGGTATCCATTGAAGATAGGCTTCCAGTGATTGTGAATGTGTGCAGTAATAGTGTGCAGTAATTTAATTACCAGGTTAAAGTGTATGTAAACTTTTGGAAGTATTGGATAGCATAAGGAAGAGTTAAATCCTCAATAATTTTTTTCTTTTTTTTTTTTTTTACTGCCTTTTTGGGGATATTGCCATTCATATCATATAACACAGCTGAAAGTTAGAGGAATTCATTACAAAGTGAGGGAATTCACCTTTTAGAAAATTGTTGCATGAAAAGGTGTCACCATTACAAGATTTCCCTCCAGCTCTTGTTCTGGTGACAGCTGTGAAACTGTGGACTTCCCATCAGTGGTAAACCCTCACATATGTCCAGTGAAGTGACTGGCCCCAGGTGATACACATACTGTAGATGAAGCAAGTCCTCCTACACAGGGGTGTAACTAGAACCTTCAGGGCCCCGGTTCCAGATACCATCAAGGGCCCCCCCTGACCCCTGGCTGGGGCCCTTCCCTCTGAGTGTGGTGGTGGAACATCAGGGCCTGATTGCAAGTGTGACCTTTGTGACCTCTTAGCAACCCCGTTGGGGAAGGGGGGGGGGGCTTTGGTGAAATATTAGGGGTCTAAAAAGACCTCTGATGTTTCAGCTTTGGGGCAGAGAAAGGGGATTGAGCACACAGCCCTTAATTGCCTTCTCTGCAGCCTCATGAATGGACAAGAATAGCTCTGTACAGAGCTTCCTGTTCAGTACAGAGCATCCCGGTACAGATCACTGACTCTCCATTCAGAAAAGGAAGGGGCTGCTAAATGACACGCTTACTGGCCCTCTCTTTGCTCTCCATCCTGACAGATCCCCCGCAGCAGCTGGGGGGGTTGGGGAGGGGGGAACTCAGCAGAGCTGTGGGGGGTGCAGGGAGATAGAACAGGAGGCAAAGAGCACAGGGGGAGCCGGAGAGCACGGAGGCAGCAGAAAGGAGCTGGATAGGAGGAGTAGTGGGGGTGGCTGCATATAGAGGAATCAATATCTCCATTTTCCACATGCAGCCACTGAATGCCCGCTTCTCCTTCTCTCCCTCTCTCCCTCCTACAGACATTCAGCACAGGGGCGGACTGACCATTTGGAAACTCGGGCACTGCCCGAGGGCCCGGGGTCAGTAGGGGGCCCCATGAGATGCCCCTGGTACCTTTTTCATAGGATTTTTTGAGTTTGGGCAAGGACACAGGGGCCCCATGATCCCCTATTGCCCGGGGGCCCCATGAGTTGTCAGTCCGCCCCTGATTCAGCGGCTGCAGAAGGAAAATGGAGAGATCGGTTTCTCTATATACAGCCACCCGAAACACTCCTCCTATGCAGGCATACAGGATGCCAGATCACATTTGCGACCGCTATAAGTACGCCCCTGCTCCTACAAAGGTTGTACCTGTTTATTTGCAGCCATCTTTCCTCTACAGCTGTTCAAAGTCCAGAATTTATACAACTTGTCTGAGCTCCAAAGCAGGAGGTGGGGAGCTGAAGTTACACTCTGCAGAGTTCCGTGAGAGCTGATTGAAGAAAAGGGACACACCCCCTTCACACAGCACACAGGAACATAACTGAGGCTGTTAATCACAGGCTGTGTGCTCCCTCCCCTGTCATCTTTTTACCTCTTGGCATCAGGAAAACTTTGCAGAAGTGATGTATGCAGAGAGCAGAGAAATGAAGCAGCAGACAGAAATTACACTTACAGTAATGCTTTGGATTGAGACAAGTACACACTATAGAGAGATTTAGTTTGTTCATATTTCATGTCAGAGGTTTACAACCACTTTAAATAGCTCAGCTGGGAAATGGACAACAAAAAAAAAAAAATACCTAGCTCTTTTCTTCTCTAACCAAAACTAGAAATAAAACTTTTGGCTATGCACACACTTTAGGCGTGTCATGTTATTATTTCTAAAGAACATGTAAAAAAAAATAACGTTACTTTTTACAGTAAAGGCATTTCTGATAAAATCTAATATCCTTACATTTATCAGAACCGTTTGTATTGTTATATATTGTAAAGTGCTGTACAAACTTGGTATATAAATCCATAATAATATTAATAATAATAATATTAATAATAATAATGTAGGTGAATATTTTTTGTGGTTTGACTATGGCACAAAGATAGAGGTATAATGATGTGGCTGCTTTACTGAATGGATTTTGCCTGGAGGGAGTTGAATCTTATAATTATTGCTTTACACAGCATAGTTTATGCAGTGTCCTTGGTGTGCTTTCAATAACCATATACTGTAGATAAAACCCATAGTAGCTAGTGAAAACTATTTTGTCAAAGAGCATCATGACCTCAGGTTGTAAGTAGATGACAGTTTGAGGGATCACTCTGTCCTAGCTATAAAGGAGATGAAAAGTTAGTTTTTAAATGTATTTCATATGTTCAGTTCCCCGGCTGGCGGTGTTCGCCAGATGTCATGTACAGTACATTCTGCTTCTCATTCTTTCCAAGATGACATCAAATCCACAGTACACCTGTTTTCCTAGTAATTTATGATATGAACAAACGTCTGCATAGCTGGCAGCAGGCAATTGTTTCTTAAGACTCAAAAATCAAACAAACAGCCACTGTGTAAAGCTGAACTCAAAGTAAAAAGGCGAATACACATTTGTGAAGTCTTCCATCTGCCAAAGGATTTGTAATTCTGTCTCGTCCCCTATCTGATTCATGCACCTCTGCCAGCCAGCGCAGCCAGGGTGGTGACACCACGTTCTCAGTAAAGTGATGTTTTAATGAAAACATTACAGGGATTGTTTGTTGCTAGCCTTCTAAAATACTTGTTGCCTGGATATATCTGACAGTCAATACATTTTGAATCACAGAAAGGTTTTAGAATTACATATACTATATTGCCAAAAGTATTGGGAAACCTCTCCAAATCACTGGATTCAGGTTCCAATCACCTCCATGGCCACAGGTGTATAAAATCAAGCACCTAGGCATGCAGACTGCTTCTACAAACATTTGTGAAAGAATGGGTCGCTCTCAGGAGTTCGGTGAATTCAAGCGTGGTACCGTGATAGGTTGCCACCTGTGCAATAAGTCCATCCGTGAAATTTCCTTGCTACTAAATATTCCACGGTCAACTGTTAGTGGTAATATAACAAAGTGGAAGCAACTGGGAACAACAGCAACTAGGCCATGTAAAGTGACAGAGCAGGGTCAGCGCAAGTTGAAGCGCACAGTGCGCAGAAGTTGCCAACTGTCTGCACAGCCAATAGCTAAAGACCTCCAAACTTCATGTGGCCTTCAGATTAGTACAACAGCGCATAGAGAGCTTCATGGAATGGGTTTCCATGGCTGAGCAGCTGCATCCAAGCCTTACATCACCAAGTGCAATGCAAAGCGTCGGATGCAGTAGTGTACAGCACGCCGCCGCTGGACTCTAGAGTAGTGGAGGCATGTTCTCTGGAGTGACGAATCACTCTTATCTGTCTAACAATCTGATGAATGTGTCTGGGTTTGGCAGTTGCCAGGAGAACTGTGCTTGCCTGACTGCATTGTGCAAAGTGTAAAGTTTGGTGGAGGGGGGATTATTGTTTGGGGTTGTTTCTCAGGGGTTAGGCTTGGCCCCTTAGTTCCAGCAAAAGGAACTCTTAAGGCATCAGCATACCAAGACATTTTGATGCTCCAAACTTTGTGGGAACAGTTTGGGGATGGCTCCTTCCTGTTCTAATATGATTACGCACCAGTGCACAAAGCAAGGTCCATAAAGACATGGATGAGCGAGTTTGGGGTGGAGGAACTGGCCTGCACAGAGTCCTGCCCTCAACCTGATAAAACACCTTTGGGATGA